GGAGAAGGAGGAGGAGGAGGAGAAGGAGAAGGAGGAGGAGGAGGAGAAGGTGAAGGAGGAGGAGGAGGAGGAGGAGGAGGAGGAGGAGCAGGAGGAGGTGGAGGAGGAATTCCCCCGATCCGCGGCTGCGCCGCGCGGGCCCTCGCGTAGATCGGCGCACCTGCGGTGCTCGGGTATGTCAGGCCCCCTCTCGGTGGGCGGCTGGCCTCCCAGCCCCCTCCCCGCTTCTCTCAAGCAGCGGCGAAGCGTCTCGGCTCGCCTGCAGGCCAAGCTATAGCAGTTCTAAGAACCCTTTGTGGTTTCCACGAAATGTTCTTAGAACATCTCTGGCGGATTCTGTCTTGTTCTATCACGTCGGGGTGACAACCGATTCTGTGGACGATCTCCCCCGAGGGACGAGGCTGGGAACGAGGAGGACGACGGCGAGGGCGGCGACCCACGACGGCGACGCACCCGCACGCGCGCGCACGGCAGCAGCGGCCGAGCACGGCGGCGGGGCCCTGCGCACCGCCCCGTCAGGCGCCCACGCTGTCGGAAGCAGGCGGGGCGCGCGCCGCCCCCCGCGCCGTGGGCCTGGGCCGCCGCCGCCGTCGATGGCGTCGTCGTCGTTGCCGACCTCATCGTCGAAGGCGAGGACGAGGACGAGGACCAGGGGGAGGGGGAGGAGGGGGAGCCCCCCAAAAGGAGGAGGGGGAGGAGGAGGAGGAGGAGGAGGAGGAGGAGGAGGAGGAGGGAGGAGGAGGAGGAGGAGGGAGGAGGAGGAGGAGGAGGAGGAGGGAGGGGGAGGAGGAGAAGGAGGGGGAGGAGGAGGAGGAGGAGGAGGAGGAGGAGGAGGAGGAGGAGGAGGAGGAGGGGGAGGAGCAGATCCGCATTGAAATTCTGGCCAGAACGCACCCTGGGAGAGGTCCAGGGAGTAACAGTATCGTCGACTACACGTAGGAGTGGCCTTTCGCCGAAGTGACCCTTGGCGCGGGCACGCTGGGGTCGCGACTGCGGCGGCTTGCGCGGTTGGGTGTGGTTCCCCCGCGGCCACACATAAACTTCGCACCAAAGGTCTCTCTTACCCGGGGCCACTCTTGCGTGCAGCGGGTATCGGCAACTTCTGTGGCTTCCCCACCATCGTCGCCATGGTCGTCACCGTCGTCATGTATTACCAGTCTGAGACATCCCTAGACCTGTGTTTGGCATCACCTCACCTCGATGCTGATCTTAAGGGGTCCCTCAGTTTCTGAGGGCAAATCCCCTCCAGCTCAAGTGTGGGGGGGGTCAGGGATCACTGAAAAAAACACATGGAATCCGTACCCCCCCAAGCCGAAATTCGGGTCAAACTCGGGTCTTCGGGTTGGGTTGGTGTGGTCTGGTAGGTAGTAACAGGAGTGGACCTACACGGTGTTCTGGAGCTTTCGTGGGCCGTTTTCGTTCCGATGTCGTTTTGCGTTGAAGGCGGAGTGAAGACAAGACGAGGGAAAACGAAACCATAGCGAACACGAAAAACACCGTTGAGGTTCAGCCCTGGATAGCACTTGTTCGCCCATCCCAGGGACAGGGATGAGTCCCAGGTTGGGTTAATGTAGCCGATTTTGTTTTCCGTGTTTTGAACATTATTAATTCTAAAGAATAATTATTGTTGGGACCCCTGGTGCACGGCCCCCCTGCGCCGCCTAGGCCGCAGCTACATTTTCATCATTTTCGTGAGGAAGCCTCAGGTAATACGATGTCATCAAGATCCGGTTGTTTTGTTGTAATCCGTTTTCCCTTGCAAAAAACACTATAAAATGACATTTCTTGTTCTAATATAATCAAATTTCAAGAATCCCTTGCAAAAAATAAGGTAAAGTGGACATTCGCGCGCGCAAGACGAAATCCTTCCAAAAGCTTAGTGTTCGGAGCGATTTTAACATAAAAACATCAAAAAACCAATGGTTTTTCAACAAAAAAATGTCAAAATCTCATCCCGCGCGCTCTTGCGGATTCGTAGGAAACCCAACACTTTTTAAACATTTCTGTCAAACGGGCTTTTGCGAGCAACTTTTTCGAACTTCTGCGACAACGGTTGCGCACCTGCCAGGGCCATCATCCCTGTCAAATAATACCATGCGGGACACATTCGTTTTTTCTTCGCGCGCGCACGCCGTCGTCGTCGGCCGCGGGGCCCTGAATAGTAGCCACGGTCGTCCGCATGCCACGAAGTGAAGTGTCCGAACGTCATAGGGCGGGAAGCTGGGTGTGGGTGGTGGCGAAGAGTCGTTTGGAAATTTGGTAGAGCTTGAACCGGCCCCCCCACAAAGTGGGGGTATTGCCCGCCTCCTATGAAAACCCTGGCACTGGTGAGAACGGAGTGTCCCCACGTGCTAGTAATTGTTGTTGTTGTTGTTGTTGTTGTTGTTGTTGGTATTGTTGTTGTTGTGGTTGTGGTTGTGGTTGTGGTTGTGGTTGTGGTTGTTGTTGTTGTTGTTGTTGTTGTTGTTGTTGTTGTTGTTGTTGTTGTTGTTGTTGTTGTTGTTGTTGTTGTGTCTCTTTTTTTGTTCGATGGCCGGCGAGGGGGCCAAAGCTCCCCTCCTCCCCTCCCCCCCCTCCCCCCCGGGGACCGGGTCCTGGCTTTCGGTCGGGCGTGTCCCTCTACCGGGGGAATATTCAGAGAGAGTCCAAACTTAGTCAGGGAACGTTTTTTTGTTTTGTTTCGAATTCTAGACCTCCCGAACAGGGTCCGAAGAGACGGGGTCGCAGGATCGCGCCGCCTCGCCGATGCAACGGCCCACGTCGACGCCTCATCACCGTCGCGACCCTCCGAACCCATCTACTCGAACCCCATCCCATGTGGGGGCCTTTGATTGTCTTGTCGTCATCTGTATGCCATCGTAATGGGCACGGAAAGAATTGGTGCGAAGATTGACAGATGTTTTGGTCATTTGATCAGGACTTGTCGACGATGTCGTCGCGGGCGTTTTACGTTCGAGACAGGTTGCCGCCTGAGCAGCACCGACCGCCTTTAATTCTGGATAGCACTTGTTGTTGGGCATCGTATGGCCGTACCCATTTCGGGCGTCCAGATCATCGTTGTCGACGGCGGCGTCGACTGTTTTGCGGCGGCGTCACAGAAGGAGGAGGGGAGGTTGGGGAGGAAGGAGGAGAAGGATGGAGGAGGGAGCAGGGAGGAGCAGGATGGAGGAGGGAGGAGGGAGAGGAGGGAGAAGGGCGAGGAGGGAGGAGGAAGGGAGGCAGGGAGGAGGATGAGGAGAAGGAGGAGGAGGAGGAGGAGGAGGACCAGAGTAAACGTGAGATGCACCACAGGTGCAAGATGCCCACCCGTCCCAAGTCCCCTCCGAATGAGCCACTACACGAGTGTCTCTTCAGTGCGGCGGGGAGTATCCCTGGCACTTCAGTATCCCTGACATCTTTTGCTGGCCAGCCTTCACTCGGAAAACGTCAACACCTTACCGCACATCCTTACTATACGGGTTGACTTTACAACAACAACGACGGCCACACCGTCGACAGCAAACGTTACGACAACAACGATATTCGGAGCTCCTTTCGGTTCCCACGATTCGATTCGATTCGATCCCGATGGCTTCCGATGCCGATTCGCTTCGCCTTGGGATTCCGACCCGGATCCCGATTTCCCAGTGGAGGCTTGCTGGCCTGCCGAGACGTCTGCCGATGCGACTTCTCCCGACTCGGCTGCCGAGTTCCGCCGATCCGATTCATGTCGATCGCCGATTCGACTTATTCGATGAGTCGGGCCTGTCCATCTGCAGGGGGAATATCCAAAAACCGTTCCACAAAAAAAATCAGTCGGGGGACGATCTTGTGACACGATCGAAATCACTCTTGGGGGCATGCTGGGAGTACTGCTATTTCTGTCGCCCAGAATCCCCCTGCAGGGGGAGTATCCAAAAACCGTTCAACAAAAAATCAGTCGGGGCACGATCTTGTGACACGATCGAAATCACTCTTGGGGGCATGCTGGGAGTACACCTTAGGCGATGCTTAAGAAAACCCAAGTTTTCGGCCAGAGTCTCGATTATTCTTAACGTTTCAACGTAAATCCTAAGATTTTGATAGAAATCTCGGGTGTTTGTTCAAGTTCTGAGACTGTTAATTTCTTAACCCATGATTTCTTAAGCATCTCGCAGGGAGTACTGCCATTTCTGTCGCCCAGGATCCCCCTTGCAGGGGGACGGGCCCCATCTCACCCTGCGCTCTCCTGCCCGGGACGCTCCGGCGCCTGCCGCGTGGAGCGTGCGCGCCCCGGGCGGGGGCCGACTCGGGTCTGTCGGGGCAGGCACCGCCTCCCCCCACTGCTTAGGTCAGGAGGGAGAAAAACACAGACACAATTAATCGTCGATTCCCCAGAAAATATGGGAAAATATGGGAAGTGGGGGGGGGAAGACAAAATCCCAGAAAACATGGGAAAATATGGGGAATCCTGTGATTTGTGTGTATTTGTTTGTGTGTCCCAGGGCCCGTAAGTCGGGCCCGTCCCTCCGCAGGAGGAGTATCCAAAAATGATGAGAAGCAGTCTGGGGGCAATCTTTGCTAAAAAGTTGTCCGGCCAGCTGGGGGTATTTTTGTAGCATGTTGAACTTTTCGTCGGAACTCAGCCTGTAGGGGGACATGCCCGACCTAAGCCTTGGAGGAGTAAGAAAGGCACTGGCACCGCCACCCTTCCCTCGTTTTTCGCCTCTTTGGGCCTCTCGGGAGGCCCTCGTCGCCACGGCCAGATTCGCTTCGAAATGTTGGTCAGAACGCACCCCGGAAGGCATCTGGGGAGTAGTGGTATCGGCATTTTTTGATTTCCCACCCACCCAGTGCTCATCAAGAGGCGCGGGTTACTCACGAGAGAGGAGGGAGGGAGGGAGGGAGGGAGGAAGGAGATGGGGGTAGAGTAAGAGGAGTCCCAGTCTTCTCATTGTCTCATCCCCTCCCCCATGGGCCAGTCTATGCAGTCTTCTGCATTGCGCCCGCCAGGTGATGACGAGCCAACAGCGTTTCATTGACAGCCCCAGCGATCTTTGCCCTGTGGCTGCATCTTGCTTCCACTGAGCGTTCTACGTCTGGGCTGCGTCAAGGCGCGGTTGTGTGGATTGGGAATGCTTTGAACACATTGGGGCGGCTGTGCCTCATTCGCTTTGCGGTATCACCCGCCCGCGCGCAACAAATGTTCTGGCTGGCAGTCGCCACTTCGCCGGCCCCCGAAAGAGAAAGGACTCGCGGGTACGCCTTGGGACATTTCAGAGGGCACGTTTGGGGAGGATCAGGGAAGGGATAGGGAGGAGAAGAGCAGGAGGATCATGCTGACAGGCGGGAGGAGGAGCAGCAGGGGCAAGGAAGAATGGATTGGGCGCGCTGTCGATAATGCTTTGACTCTCTTGCCTCTCGCAATTCCCCGAACATGGTGCGTTGCGCTGATATTGAAGACTCCTACGGCGAATCACCGCCGCCCCCTGCCTTTTTGGAAGCGCCTATGTGGCCGAACGTTGAAGCCAGACCTGCCAAGCTATCGGACCATGTGTTCCCCGAATCGGTTTGGAAAGCCTTCGGGGAACATGTGGGCATCTTGAAGGTCATCTTGGCCGTCTTGAGGCCACTTCGACCCTTTCCCGCCTTCTTGGAGGACGTCTTGGAGGGGTCTTGGGCCGTCTTGGAGGCCATCTTGAGCGTCGTGGAGGCCTCTTGGGCCGTCTTGGGAGCCTCTTGGGGCCGTATTGGGCCTCTTGGGCGATCTTTGGGGGCACTCGGGCCGTCGGACGGCCGAAAAACAAGCAAATGCCAAGATCCTTCAAAAACTCATGGGAAATCAATGATTTGGGCCTGGAGGCCCTGTTGGAGGCCTCTTGGGCCGTCTTGGGCCATCTTAAGGCCATCTTCGGCCGTCTTGGTGGGCTCCTGGCCTGTCTGACGCCGTCGGAAGCCGTTTGAGGGGCCTCTCTGGGCCGACTTGGGGCCCTCTTGGAATGCTCCAGGGCCGTCTTGGAGGCCTTATTGGGCGTCTTACAGACCTCCTGGGCCGTCTTAGGGGTCTCTTGGGGCCGTCTTGGGGGCCTCTTGGGCCGTTCTGGGGCCATCTTGGAGGCCTCTTGGGCGCTGTGTGGGCGATACTTGGGGGCTCTTGGGCCGTCTCGGGCCGTCGGAAGGCTGAAAAGAAGCAGATGTCAAAATCCTTAAACCACCTAGGAACAAATACATGTTTTTGGGCCTTTTCTGACCTTCCTGGAGGCCCTCTTGGAGGCTTCTTGGGCCGTCTTGGGCCAGCTTTGAGCCAACTTCGGCCATCTTGGTGGGCTTCTGGCCCGTCTGACGCCGTCGGAAGCGGTTTGGGGGGCCTCTCTGGGCCGACTGGGGGTCCTCTTGGGGTGAGGCCTCTTGGGTCGTCTTTGTGCCCTCTTGGGGCTGTGTTTTGGGGCCTCTTGGGCAGGGCGATCTTGGGGGCGTCTTGGGCCGTCTTGGGTCGTCGGAAAATCGAAAAGGAGCAAGTACGAGAAACCTTTACAAACCATCGGAAAATCAATTAATTTAGCCTCTTCGGGCCCTCCTGGAGGACCTCTCGGAGGCCTCTTTGGCCGTCTTGGAGGCCTCTTGGGCACCTCTTGGGCCGTCTTGGGCCGTCTTGGCGGTTTCTTGGGCGGACTTGGAGGCGTCTCCTCTTCTCTTGGGCCGTCTTGGAGGCCATCTTGGAGGTCATCTTGGGCGAACGTGACCATCTTGGAGGCCATTTTGAGCCGTCTTGGAGGATTTTTGGGGGACGCTGAGGTGGTTTACGCGGCCTTCCGGGACCCCGGCGGACAACGCCGAAGCCCCAGTGGGAGTTCTTTTGGAAAAAACCAAAACCAAAACCGAGATGATTCAGCACGACAGGCGCCCCTGCGATGAATCGACAGGGGGCGGCGGATCGAAGACGCCTACGGCGAATCACCGCCGCCCCCTGCCTTTTTGGAAGCGCCTATGTGGCCGAACGTTGAGGCCAGACCTGCCAAGCTATCAGACCATGTGTTCCCCGAATCGGTTTGGAAAGCCTTCGGGGAACATGTGGGCATCTTGAAGGTCATCTTGGCCGTCTGGAGGCCATTCTGACCCTTTCGGGCCTTCTTGGAGGACGTCTTGGAGGGGTCTTGGGCCGTCTTGGAGGCCATCTTGAGCGTCGTGGAGGCCTCTTGGGCCGTCTTGGGAGCCTCTTGGGGCCGTATTGGGCCTCTTGGGCGATCGTTGGGGGCCTCTTGGGCCGTCTCGGGCCGTCGGAAGGCAGAAAAAAAAGCAACCGCCACAATCCTTCAAACATTCAGGGGAAATCAATGATTTTGGCATTTTCGGGCCTTCCTGGAGGCCCTCTTAGAGGCCTCTTGGGCCGTCTTGGGCCAGCTTCGAGCCAACTTCGGCCATTTTGGTGGGCTCCTGGCCCGTCTGACGCCGTCGGAAGCCGTTTGGGGGGCCTCTCTGGGCCGACTTGGGGCCCTGTTGGGGCGCTCCAGGGCCGTCTTAGAGGTCACCTTGGGCGTCTTGGAAGCCTCTTGGGTCGTCTTTGTGTACTCTCGGGGCCGTCTTGGGGGCCTCTTGGGCAGTCCTGACGCCATTTTGGATGCCTCTTTGGCGCTGTGGGGGCGATCTTGGGGGCCTCTTGGGCCGTCTTGGGTCGTCGGAAAGCCGAATAGGAGCAAATACGAAAATCCTTCAAACACTTAGGGAAAGTCAATGAGTTTGGCCTCTTCGGGCCCTCCTGGAGAACCTCTCGGAGGCCTCCTGGGCCGTCTTGGAAGCCTCTTCGGCACCTCTTGGGCCGTCTTCGGCCGTCTTGGAGGTTTCTTGGGCGGACTTGGAGGCATCTCCTCCTCTCTTGGGCGGACTTGGAGGCCACCTTGGACCATCTGGGAGGCCATCTTGGGCCATCTCGGCCGTCTTGGAGGCCATCTTGGCCGTCTTGGAGGCCTCTTGGGGCCCTCGTAGGGCCGTCTTGGAGACCCCTTGGGCCGTCATGGGGCCATCTTGGGGACCTCGTGGGCGATCTTGGGGCGATCTTAGGGGCCTCTTGGGCCGTCTTGAGCCGTCGGAATGCCGAGAAGACGCAAATCCCACAGTCCTTCAACAACCGAAGGAAAATCACTTAGTTTGGCCTCGTCGGGCCTTCCTGGAGGATCTCTTTGAGGCCTCTTGGGCCGTATTGAAGGCCTCTTGGGCCGTCGTGGGCCATGTTGAGGCCATCCTGGGGTTATCTGAGGCCGTCTTGGGTGCATTTTGGGGCCATCTTTGCAGTCTTGGAGGCCATCTTGGGGCGTCTTGGAGACCCTCCTGGGTCATCTTGGCCGTCTTGGACGCCATCTTGGGCCAATTGGAGGAACCATAAGCAAGACGGATGCGTTTCGAGATTCTTCCCAGGACCCCGGTGGGACGGGCCGAAGCCCCAGGGGGAATTCTTTTGGAAAGAGAACCAACACCAACACCGAGAGGGTTTAACACGCCATGCACCCCTTTGATACATCAAAAGGGGGCGGCGGATCGAAGACGCCTACGTACGGCGAATCACCGCCGCCCCCTGCCTTTTTGGAAGCGCCTATGTGGCCGAACGTTGAGGCCAGACCTGCCAAGCTATCGGATCATGTGTTCCCCGAATCGGTTTGGAAAGCCGTCGGGGAACACGTGGGCATCTTGAAGGTCATCTTGGCCGTCTGGAGGCCGTTTTGACCCTTTCGGGCCTTCTTGGAGGACGTCTTGGAGGGCTCTTGGGCTGTCTTGGAGGCCATCTTGAGCGTTTTGGAGGCCTCTTGGGCCGTCTTGGGGGCCTCCTGGGGGCTTCTTGGGCGATCTTTGGTGGCACTTGGGCCGTATCGGGCCGTCGGAAGGCCGGAAAACAAAAGCAAATGCCACAATCCTTCAAACAACTTTGAGGGACATCAATGAGTTTGGCCTTTTCGGGTCTTCCTGGAGTCCCTCTTGGAGGCCTCTTGGGCCATCTTAGGGCCATCTTCGGCCGTCTTGGTGGGCTCCTGGCCGTCTGACGCTGTCGGAAGCCGTTTGGGGGGTCTCTGTTGGCCGACTTGGGGCCCTCTTGGAATGCTCCAGGGCCGTCTTGGAGGCCATTCTGGGCGTCTTCAAGGCCTCCTGGGCCGTCTTGGGGGCCTCTTGGGCCGTTCTGGGGCCATCTTGGAGGCCTCTTGGGCGATGTTTGGGCGATCTTTGGGGGCTCCTGGGCCGTCTCGGGCCGTCGGAAGGCCGAAAAGAAGCAGATGTCAAAATCAGTAAAACACCAAAGGGAAATACGTGTTTTGGGCCTTTTCGGGCCTTCCTGGAGGCCTCTTGGAGGCCTCTTGGGCCGTCTTGGGCCAGCTTCGAGCCAACTTCGGCCATCTTGGTGGGTTCCTGGCACGTCTGCCGCCGTCGGGAGCCGTCTTGGGGGCCTCTCTGGGCCGACTTGGGGCCCTCTTGGGGCGCTCCAGGGCCGTCTTGGAGGCCATCTTGGGTGTCTTGGAGGCCTCTTGGGTCGTCTTTATGCCCTCTTGGGGCTGTCTTTTGGGGCCTCTTGGGCAGTCCTGAGGCCATCTTGGAGGCATATCGGGCGCTGTGGGGGCGATTTTGGGGGCGTCTTGGGCCGCGTTGGGTCGTCGGAAAGCCGAAAAGGAGCAACTACCACAATTCTTCACAAACCTATGGGAAATCACTGATTTTGGCCTCTTCGGGCCCTCCTGGAGGACCTCTCGGAGGCCTCCTGGGCCGTCTTGAAGGCCTCTTGGGAGCCTCTTGGGCCGTTTTGGGCGATCTTGAGGCCATCTTAGGTCGTCTTTGGTGCATCTTGGGCCGTCTTGGAGGCATCTTGGGGCCATCTTAGCCGTCTTGGAGGCCATCTTGGCTGTCTTGGAAGTGTCTTGGAGGCCATCTTGGGCCATCTTGGAGCCGTCTGGAACAGAAAAACCCTTTGCAACCACCTCTGGAAGATCTTTCGGCATCCTTCCGGGTGGCCGGCGGGACGGGCCAAAGCCCCAGGGGGAGTTCTTTTGGAACAAGAACCAAA